GGTAGCACCTTAACAGCATCATCTTTTAAGGTTTTAAATAGTTCAACTGGACCTCCACTGGCCTTTTTGTTAGCCATGCTTTCTAAGGCCCAGTTGACTTCACTCTCCAGGATGTCTGGCTTAAGGTCAGCAACCACACTATCTGGGTTGTCCGGGACATCCAGATCTTTCTGGAATAATTCCTCTGTGTATTCTTGCCACCTCTTCTTGGTTTCTTCTGCTTCTGTGAGGTCCCTACCATTTTTGTCCTTTATCATGTTCATCTTTGCACAAAATGTTCCTTTAATATCTCCAATTTTCTTGAACAGATCTCTGGTTTTTCCCTTTATATTATTTTCCTCTATTTCTTTGCACTGTTAATTTAAGAAGGCCCTCTTGTCTCTCCTTGCTATTCTTTGGAAGTCTGCATTCCATTTTCTGTAACTTTCCCTATCTCCCTTGCATTTGGTTTCCCTTCTCTGCTATTTGTAAGGCCTCGTTGGACAGCCACTTTGCTTTCTTGCATTTCCTTTTCTTTGGGATGGTTTTTGTTGCTGCTTCCTGTACAATGTTACGGGCCTCCATCCATAGTTCTTCAGGCACTTTGTTCACCAAATCTAGTTTCTTAAATTTGTTCTTCACCTCCACTGTGTATTCATAAGGGATTTGGTTTACATTATACCTGAGTAGGCCAGTGGTTTTTCCTACTTTCTTCAGTTGAAGCTTGAGTTTTGCTATAAGAAGCTGATGATCAGAGCCACAATCAGCTCCGGGTATTGTTTTTGCTGACTGTATAGAATTTCTCCATCTTTGGCTGCAGAGAACATAATCAATCTGATCTCGGTATTGCCAATCTGGTGATGTCCATGTGTAGAGTTGCCTCTTGTGTTGTTGGAAAAGAGTGTTTGTGATTATCAGCTTATTCTCTTGACAAAACTTTATTAGGCTTTGCCCTGCTTCGTTTTTGAACTCCAAGGCCAACCTTTCCTATTGTTCCTTTTATCTCTTGACTCCCTACTTTAGCATTCTAGTCCCCTAGAATGAGAAGAACATCTTTCTTTGGTGTAAGTTATAGAAGGTGTTGTAAGTCTTCATAGAATTGGTCAATTTCAGCCTCTTCAGCATTGGTGGTTGGTGCATAAACTTGGATTACTGTGATGTTGAAAGGTCTGTCTTGGATTCGTATTGAAAACATACTCATTACACAAGGCTTGAGTATGCACATCTTCATTTCATTATGTTTTCAAGGGCAGACCTTGAATCAATGACACTTTGAATCTAAAAGTGGGTCATTAGAAACTTGGGGGCTAGGGGAAGGAATAATGTTTCAATAACATACCACTTTAAGCACAAATACTGCATCGTCCTAAATGTAAATCTCTCCCCCCCCCCCATTGCCCTGAGGTAGTCTGGCAGAAAAAATCTCCTTAGTGGATATGTGATATTACACAGGATTCTGGTATTCTAATTATACAGCCATTATACTGGATTCAAGCATGCGACTGGAAGCAGGTGTTCTATGCTGCCAAAATACACAACTCACTGTTCCTTATTTTCTTTCAGATCATTCCAGTTGACTTCTCCCACAGGCAGATCTCATGCTTCCATACAGATGCTATTCTTCAACCCTCCTTAACCATAATTAAGCCAAATTAATGTAAAATCTAAATACCACAGGGATATTTACATAAGAACTTACTACAGATATAAAGAGCAATCTTCACTATGAAAAAGGTTTTAACTGTTACCTTATATGCAGCTTGAATGTAGAACATGTTTTACAGCATTTTCTTGTCTAGTAAGTACTTGTTTATTAGGCTCATTTTAAAGAAAGGGAATTGAGGCTCTGAGGTAGAGATTTAATGTACAAGGCCACCCAATGTATTAATAGCTAAGCCAGAGTCTGAACTAAAGCTTGTAATGGTCCAGCTCCAGTGCATTCTAATTTGACTCATTTTTATTTATATAAAAAACATTAATACATGTTTTTAATGATTTTTTAAAAAAGATAAACTGGCTTCAAAACTATAAAAAGCAGTACAGGACTTAAAATGGGACAAAGTCCTGATGCACATACGCCATGTAGCAAAATTTGATCACTTTAAAGATTCTATCACGATATTTTATGGGCACTAAAACAAACAATTATCTCTGTCCTTATACGCAAATAACTGTCTCTCATCTATTCCTGCTAAAATAGATATGGGAGAAATATATTAATCATGGCTTTATTCTTTTTGTTTTCAAAAGCACACAAGATACTTCTGTTCTTTATTTTCGAAAGTACATTTGTTCAGTCAAAGTTTGAATTTAATTACAACATCAAAAGCAAATTTCCATATGTACATTGCTTATATCTCCGGTAACCACAGCTTACAGAGAGAAGACGGATATTTGTCAAGATGTGAGACACAAGAGAGTCTGTAACTGGTGACCTGCTAAAGTAGGACACAATGCAACAGGTACCATTACTAAGCTTTGTCTATATATGAAAGGGGGAAAAAAGGGAGACTACTGTGGCAATGAGAAAAGAAATCTGCCATTCTAGAGATCTTGATTCTAACAGTGAAAAGAC